TCCGAGGCATTAGCATTGAATTCAAAGTCAGGAAATCATTGCAAATGTGTTCAACCAGTTCAAATTTATTTTATCGACACATAAAGTATGCCGCTTTTAGTCAATGTAACAGACTCAATGATTTGAAATATGCCATGAACGTAACTGAATAATACCGAGAAGATCAGATACAATCAATCAAATATCATTTAAGGAGATAATTAATCCTTTTATCAAAAACACCCACACATTTCTAAGTATATAAACGTCGGCCAAAACTACCCACAAAGTATCCTCTCCTATGAAAGTTTAACTGCCTTGTAAAACTTCTGGGAGACAAAAAAGTACATCAGGACCCACTTAGCCTGATGTGATAATTAAAAGGACTGAGTCATTTATGGCATTAATTGCTCTCTCCAGCCATAATTAAAGCTTGGCGATGTCAGAGCAGTACCCACCAATTAAGCTAGCTTAAGGCTATATTACGAATCAATGAGTTCACAAAATGAAAGAATACTTGACGTTGTATTGTCGAGGTTTATCGATCCGTCAATTGTCGGAAATATCTTTTTTATAGAAATATAAATGAATCACGATAAATGGCATGGAGATACATAATGGTTATTGGGTATTGCATCAATAGCCCACAGTGTACACACGTTGTAAGCAACGTGTGGTCAGAGTATAAACACTATTCTGTATCAGACTAAATAGTAAATATAGCCACGGTCATTGTTAATCAGATGGAGTTACAAGAATAAAGTGTTTGGTGATGCATGTTCCATTAGAGATCCTCAATAGACTGCCATCGCTGGGGATGTACTGCTGGCAAAATAACAAACATGAACTACTCAAATACACAAGGACATCGGACGGGAGGTCATGCACCTCTGTCATTGCACGTACGCCACAATTTCGCACTCCTGGAAGTCGATGGATTTTGTTTGTTGGCACTCAGCAATATTCCAGCTATATGACGTTGGTCTGTAAATAATCGAGTCTGGACCAGACAATCCAGTGATTGACATCATGAGCATCGATCCACCAATAGGGACACGATGACATGCATCACAACAGTCAAGCAAGCCTGACCACGCGATCCCGTTAGTCGCCCCTTACGACAAGAATAGGTTGATAAGAATTCTGCCCCGGAAACGAAACCCATCCCCAATGGAGTCTATGTCCAACCTCTTTCCATAAAAATTTTAAAAAAATATAAATTCGAAAAATCCCAAAATATCAAAAGGCACCACTTCAGTATGTGATTGATAGATTTGCCAACTTTCGATCAAATACACTGAATGGTTTTCGAGTTCTGCCCCGGAGAAGGAAATGATTACGGGCAGACAGACGGTCAGACGGACAGACAGACGGACAGATCCTAAGATCCCCTCGCACGATATGCCGGGGGGATACCAAGTAAGAAATAGTTATATAATTACTCGAGTGAGATGTATTTTATTCGGGTATCATAGTTATGTTTCGGACCTCAAGTTTGCAGTGTCTCGGCGGCTGTTTTCAGCCTAGTTACCTTTTGATAACGTTTGAAATTATTGGGTGAAATCCATTTTCAAGTGTAAACTTTCCTTTGTCCGCCAGTGTATACCCGAGTTTATGGAAATATTAAATACAGGGACTTTTTTAGCCTCACACATCGGTGAGATAAAATAATAATAATAATAATAATAATAATAGTAGACCATTTATATTGCGCATATTTCCACACTACTCAGAGGCATGCTGAAAGCGCTATTTTAATGACCCCGGTCACTGGATCAGTGTATACTCAACAATTATTCTCAGCTCCCCGGGGAGTATACAGCCCAAGCTGCCTGTTAGGCGCTAGAAGGTTAACAACCACATTGCCAGCTCACCCTACCATTCACTGCTGTGTGAACAGAGGCGTATTTGGAACAAAGTCACTTGGACAAGGTGACACCACATGTGTTGCACGTGCTTTTAGTGTGGGGCAGGACCGAAGCCCTCGAAACTCAAAGCAGCCAAACTACCGAAACGCGGTCATCCAAGGACTCTCCGCGACCAAAGTTGCTTAACTTCACCTGTGCACAGTACCACGTGCCACCACAGGACCACGTGGGGATTCCGGTTCCGATAAAGTCCCCCAGACACTCGATCATCACTGTCATAAGAACCAACAAAAAAGGGATGGGGTGGCCATGCCCTGTGAGTTAATTTGATCCTTGTCATATCTGAAATATTCTGACTATGGTGTTAACCACCATTCACGGATGAATCATTGCCCTATTGCACCGAACCAGTTCAACAATAGTATCAGTAGTCTCTCAAACGTACCGTGGCCATCCAACAGACGTACCGCGGAAGTTGCGAGAAAGGTTTATGAGACGATGGAAGTACTCCTGAAGAGTGAGTGAGTGAGTATGGTTTTACGCCGCTTTTAGCAATATTCCAGCAATATGACGGCGGGGGACACCAGAAATGGGCTTCACATACTCCTATAGAACCTTCTGCGGTGAAGTGTTACGTTTGTTTCTTGTTTAACGCCATACTCAGCAATATTCCAGCAATATGACGGCGGTCTGTAAATAATAGAATCTGGACCAGACAATCCAGTGATTGACATCATGCGCATCGACCCACTCAATTGGGATACGATGACATGCATCAACCAAGTCAGCGAGCCTGACCACACGATCCCGTCTTAAAGACGTAAGAAGTGCGAGTGTACTATGGGGTCATATAGTTTAGGTGACATTTGCTATATATTATAAAGTCATCAGGTTATAACTATGAATCAATACACCAATTGTTTTCATTATCACTGGGAAACTAATGAGTTGTTATTAGCCCAGCATAGCTTGGATTAATCAACGACTTCCAGGACACATACAACAGTATTGAATCTCATCAACTCCCTATGATCACGCCATGCCAACGGTGACAAAAGCGTGTGCGAGTTATTCATGATTGAACAGCCTGCATTGAAGAGAAGACGCGTTTCGTGCCTATCAATACCAATTCTAGTTCCAATCTGAATTAATATAATCATCACCATCAAACTATTCTATTTCGTACGTTATTAATGAAAATACCACCTTCCATTCAAAGCGTATTATTTTGACATTTTTTCTTACATTTGAAATATATGTACTTTCCCAACACTTTGTCCACACAGTGCTCTTGACACTTATGCAACGTAAGGAACGTTTAACGTTGTTATGTGCTTTGTCCTCAGTTGCTGATTTGCTGCTTGGTGTGTTGTGGAAACATTTGTGCGTGTTCGTGCGTGTTCGTGCGTATGTGTTACCGGTTCTTCTCGTAAATTATAAACATTTCTTATTGAGGTCAAAGGTTCCAACTAAAATCTTACACAACAGCCACAATACAGCACAATTCACGAATCACTCTTTTTATCCCATTACTCTGTCTCAAAGCCATCACAGGAAATGCCGTAAATTACCCTCTGGTTCTTCCTGGGACTCACCGTCTTTGTTGTGGGGATACTTAATTCTTAATGGGAATTTTCATAACACGAACATCCAACATGGAGCCTGACCAAAAGGGTTTCAACGGAAGATGTTTCCTGTCATCTTGAGAAGCTGTTGTCTGCGTGTTAAAAACTACTGTCAGGAAAGCTAGAAAATGCTTTTTGCCCATTAAAAAAGGACAGAATTTTTCAGACTGTTATTGAAGTATCGAGTAAATACCGATCGACCTTCTTGTGGTTTGAAGTATTTCAGTCACAAAGAGTCCTATTAACAAGTTTACAGGAGAAAAAAAACCGAAAGAAAACCGAAAGTTCACATTTATTCATGTCACCAGAGAGCTTGGAATTTTGGCGCTTTTCTATATACAACTGTGACGTCATATCTTTTGCGTCACAATGGGCGATATGACGTCATAATGGTGACGTGCGATGTAGAGCGAAAGCCTTGCAAAGCTTGCTTTGTTTTCTTTAGGGATGCCCACCTCATGTTAGCTTACCAAGTTGCCGTGCTTATATACTTATAATGCCTGTCATATGTTCGAGTGAAGTATTACGGTGTAAACAAACTGCTTGAGTATACATGTATACGGCACAATATTTTGTTCGGTGATTCCGTAATTCAGATCGATAACCCACTCAAAACACTGAACTCAGCAAATACACCAAAGAGTTCGCATTTTATTAAGTCATGGTAGAATGGAGATAAACATACTGTGTTTTCAATGTAGAGCTAGGTTACCTGAAGATTTAACCCCGCGTTCGGTTCCAAATTCAATTTAGCGGGGTTAAATCTTCAGGTCACCTAGCTCTACATTGAAAACACAGTATGTTTATCTCCTAATTAATGTTTCCCGGACTGCACTAACTATTGCTCTCCACGAGATGGAATTTCGATACATTGCGCGGGGCGATGACAAAGCAGTTTTCAGGGGGAAATATTCCATCCTGTCTGAGGTCACATTATTTCCGCACTATCAGTCAGGGCTTCCAGATCATTTACCTTGATGAATCATTCCACAGACTACATGTGGCTATCAAACTAAAAGCATCCATGGTAGTGTCAACGCGTATGTTGACGGGGAATTGTTGACGGGGAATTGGCTCTTGTGGGAATCAAGGACAAAATTGACATTACTGTCCCGGAACGTTTTATCCACAACATGTATACAATAAACAACAAATACACAATGAGCGGAATACCTGCTCTGACAACACAAACACAGCGATGCGCGGACCTTGGCAAAGGCAAACATGAGGTGAGCGGAGCTCCAGCTCAGCCTCAGGACGTTTACACATATTAAAATTGGAAATTGTGAAATAAGGGAATATTTCAACTAACGACCAGTATCTTTAACCTGCCAATCATACGTTTTCTCACTTCCAAACCTACGTTTTGAAGCGGCTCACTTCCAAACCTAGGTAACGAAGCGGCTCACTTCCAAACCTACGCTTTGAAGCGGCTCACGTCCAACCTACGCTCGCTACAAAATGGAGGTTTTGATAATCCTTGCTTCAAAACAGAGTTCCATAGTTGTCAGAAATAACACTTTCAAGAAACACGTGATCAAGCTGTTTATTTGCACCACTCGGTTAACTGAAGTGGATCATTACGGAAATGTATTCTCGCCCAAATGTGCTGACCGTTTTCTTGTCCTCATCTGGTAACTTGGTCAGTGCCTCGTCCGGACGCGTTTTCAAAACTGGTTTCCACCATTTTTTCTTAACCGTCATTAGGGCAGGAACGTCAGCTTCCTGGGCGCCACACGCCCTCTTGACATTGCACGCTTCTGTGACCTTAAAACAGTAATGTATGCAACATTATTGGTCACAATAGATCATTACATGATCACCTACTTACGAGTCAAAACAGTATTCGCTGCATTAAGCGCCCTCGGCCCTCACAAAATAGTCACAAGGGGCATGACAACCTTGTTTGTCTTTTTCGCATCAAAATTTAATTCAGTTACGGGCGATTTATTTTTTTTGAATAAATGTCCGAAAGGCGCTTTTAACGGCGACAAATCGTACAAAATAAGGATAATGATCCCATAATAAGGTGAAAAAGTTGTATCCTATTTTGCAGAAATATTTTTCTAAAAACTAAAGTATACGTACTAGCTTAAAATCTAAGCATACGAATGGCTCAAGGCGGCTGCACGTCATCGCTGTGCAAGAGTAGCTTTGTAAAACACGGACATAGTGGCCCTGTAAACAGAAAAAAAGTTTTATCTGTTTCTTTGCATACGAGTTGTTCGTTGACATCTGCCTGATGTGGACAAGCTGCTGCTCTGGCCCGCAGAGAATGGTTTGTCTTTTCCCCTTCTATCCCTGCTGCATTGGAGATGCGTCTTTCCCCCTTCTATCCCTGCTGCCTTGGAGATGCGTCTAACGGTTTCCTGTAGCGTGTTGTGGCTGATTTAGGCGACATAAAACCAGCTTTACGTTGGGTTTTTTGATAGGTGTAAAGTGCAACATATCAGCGTTCGTCTGTGAGGTAGGAAAACTGAAATAATAAAATCTCATTAGGGATTCCGTTGGCAAATGACACCTGAATGAAATGATGACGTATAAGTACTTCCGATTGGATATGGAAATGATATTTAACCTCAACCCAGACGTTATTACGTGGCGCACGAGACAGACGAACTGTGCTCTGACGAACGTGCAAATGCTGACCTCAGTCGGAGAGACCACCGAGAAGCACATGATATAACCACTCTGCACTTGTTCAGCCAAGCTACAGGCCGTTTTCCTTGTTTACGAGAGAGTACACCGATAAATACAATGATAACAATATAACACCCCAACTTAATTACTTACTAAATAATCCTTCATAATATCCGCGATTTTCAGGTGTCTCAGCTGTTCCAGCGCGTCGTACGCATGCGCTATAACGAGGAGAAGTCATTATTTGTTAACTGTGTGAATCGCACGTAAAATAGCACGGATAATTCGACAACCTATGAAATATGACACTTTTAGGCGATTGTGGGAACATGAAGACGCTGTATGTGGTTAAGCAATGAAGATATGTAGGGCAAGACAATAAGTCAAAGGTTCATCATAATATGTATATGAGGACAAACGCACTGCAATGTATTTGCTTTTTTAAACTGAAATACAATATTTAATATATTACCAAAAGGATGCAAAAACCGCATGTTCATTGAAAACACTTATATTAATATTATAGGGAACATAAACGCAATAGAAAATTATACGAATATTGTTTAACCTTTATCATCACCGTAGCACTATATTTGCTTACCATCTGTCAGTGCCCTGTAGTTGTGATCTGAATATTGACACAAAGAGGTCAAACTGAATTACCACAATCACCACAATATCTGTCATTGTGTATAGACCAACCTGTAGTTGGGTGCGGTGTCCACACGCTAACACATGTTGATATATCATAGATTTCATTTACAACTGCTAACAATACAAGAAACTGCAAAATAGGAATTGTATTTTTTCCTAATTGCTGAAAATATCTACATGTATAAATATTGAGACAATGTACACAATAAATCATTTCCCCATATTATTCAGCGTTTCCAGTGTGTATTAACCACCTACACTCTTAACGTCTACTGCATTTGCCAAATCAAACGTATATTGACACGTGTTTAAATTTATTACAAAGACATTTTGAATATACTCTTTAAAAAATATAAATTATCATATATTCATAAACATTAATTTACCTCCATAAATCAAAGTGTTCTTTAAATTAAGACCGTAGCAACATTTCTGAATGTTATTAAATCTTGTCAATATTGTTTCAGATTCCCCAAGCTGGTCCTTTGTTAGTACAACAGTACAACTACTACTACCTTCCTCGGAAGCTGCATTTGCCACTGAAACAGATTATAATTTATGAAAACTGTGTGTGTTGTTACAAGTGCATATGTTGTATATATCCATACTTACCTTAAGCTAGTGTGACTAGTGCATGAAAACAAACAATAAGGTAAAGAATAGTTATTGTGGACATAACACAAAACGACATCAGAATCACATTTATCTGTATGAAAATGTCATCATGTTATAGGTGAGGTGAGGTGAAATTGGGTTTAACGTCGCGTCCAAGATTATTGCACTTATATAGCGACGTGCATGTACGTGTGTGTGTTTGTGTGGCTGCTTGTACTAGTCCGGACTGATGCCGATTTATAATGCTAGCTCACTGAGATACCATGCCGCAGTTTAACATGAATACCCCACTCAGACACAGTATACCGACTCCGAGCCGACCAGTCCTTGTTTTAGCCCCTTAATGCCGACCGCCAGACAGGGTAACAACAAGTACCATCTTTTAACGTCTTTTGGTATGACGCGGCCGGGGATCGAACCCCGGACCTTCCGCTCTACCACAAGACCACGAAGGCGGTCTCATCATGTTATAAATACATAATTATTATTATGGAGATAGCGATCATTAAAATCTTGCCAATGTTAAAGACCTAAACTAAAGTTATTTTATCCTTGGTGTTTCAGATTCTTGAATACTGTTATCCCATTATACCCCAGGTCCAGAGATCAAAGAGCAACTTGTTCTAGGCAATTGCAACTGAGGTAAATATAACATTTCACTTCATATGCACCTCTCAACGTGAATCCGATATGCATGCCCTGATGATGTATGTTTAGTAGTTGACTTAAAATATGTATGATTATAATACATATTCAATAATACATTTTGCAGTTCATGGATTTCCCACAACTAAACCAACTTGGCTTAAATGCCTTTATCGCTTCGCCAGCATCACATAAGCTGGCGCGCCTCAGTCTATCAACAATAACAAATGGATTAATTAAAGAGCTATAATGGTTGAAGCCAAATTGGGGCACTTTAAACACTTGGCCCACTATTATATGCGGTGGGAAGTACGTGCCAAGTACGTAGTACTTACACCATGTACAGAAAGTGTCCAAGTCGAGTTGACTAAACCCAGAACTCAATCAAACTTAGTGTCACAACAATCAAGTAGGGATATTAGGTTTCCCCAGATTAAGATGCAGAATTTGTTTGAGGAAAACAAAACCATGAATGCAGAAATAAATAATGTTCAAAAGCAGGTAAAGAAGATAGATGAAGGCACAAGTTATTTGTAAATGAAATAAGGTAAGTATTTACCGAAAGAGACTTTTGAAACTACAAAAAAGAACAAATGAAAAGGTGAAAGGTTCTCTACAATGTTAACAAACACAGACCTTTACGCAGAAATGCACAAACTGCTGTAAGTTGCGACAGGATATAGAGAAAACTATTTGTGAAGAAAACATGTCGAATGATGTCACTTTCCACAAAGGCATGATCTCCGTTAGGAACAGTAAGAACTGTAGGAGTGACACTAAGATGTGTGTTTTGACTCTTCTCTCGGAAAATGTAGGGTATGATCACGTCCATTACGTCATGAAGAGGTTGGGGAAACCCACGAAACGGGCTACAAAATACCGCATTAGCGATACCCAGCACATCGACTGACATTAACAATCCATGAAAAAAACACAAAAACACACATCGTTGAAGAGGTAGACATTCACAAATATACATAATCTACATGCTCAAAGACTTTTAGACAGCCATAGAGACACCAAACCTACCCAAATGTAGTTATGAAAGCCGAGGCACACCACACAGACACAACATGCCGCCATTGCGTTGCAGCTGCGCATAAACGGTAGCGACATATACCTAAAAAAAACGGAAAATAAACATGCACATACATTTATTTGACGAATGTATGGAAGGTGGATCTTGACATAAGATTAGTTATGCACGATTTTGAAATAAGAAACAATGCCAAAACGAAACATGAAAATGAGGCGTCGTGACATTTAAAGTCATTGATTGGTTACAAGAAATACACAATTGATTGAGACCATATAAAAGGGGCCGAATTGGGAACAATCATTCCCACTCAACTCAGCAACATGGAATGCGGGACGTTCTCGGGAAAAAATTACCAAAATTCATCATTAACTAATAAATAGACAAACATTTGTTGACGGAAAAACAAAATCTGTTCTGCACTGCCTGTGCTGATCATTGCCGTGATTTTATTCTCACTGAACATTCAGAAAGTGTCACATCCATCATTGACGACATCAACAACGGCAATGTACTCAGATGGAACTATCAGCCATAGCATCAGCTACTGGCAATTGTCAACATGATGCAAGGAGGCACGTGCCATCACATGTTTATCTCTTGGAGATTTCATGAACTGACGGCCCAAAATGGCTAAATGACAGAAATCATATAAGCACTGTTTTCCTAAGGGGATTACTACAGGATGGGGATTGTAACAAAAAGACACTGTCAATGATACTTGTTGAACAGTTATTGTTATGCTGCTGTTCCTCCCCTTTCCTTCATGACCAATGTTTCCATCCATCTCTGTACTGTCAGCAAACATGCATGTCAGTTAAATTCTAAATCATCACCATCAGGCTCATACCCAACCATTTGCAACTGGCTGAATGAGCAAGCATCCGCTTGCCCCACTGGTTATGATCTCATTACATCTTTGGACAATAACCAGGTTTTGGCCAGAAAATTGCGAGTAAGTGTGAAAAGCACCAACCGCCTGAGCTATGTGACGACACTTATCCACATTACCCCGTCCCAGGACTATGTCCTACAAACACAGCCTCAATTTTCGCCATTCGTGTTGCTAAACATGAGCCCCGATATCTTAAATGTGACGCAACAGGTTTATGATTCAAACATAGATGATTGTAAGAACTAACACAGGAAGAAGTTCATTGAAGAACATCTTAATCACGTGTTCGACCAGCAAACGCATGATGTGAGCATCACTGATATGTTTGATTCTGTACCAGTCACATCACCAAGGCCAACCCCGCCGAACCCAAAACTAAAGGGAATCGTAAAGGTAAGGGCGAGGGTAAAGCTACTTCCAAGGTTACCAATAATGTTACAGACAGTAAACATGCCTCATCATCCACACCACATTACACTGATGTCTTGTGGAAGCGATGGCAGTGTGAAATTGAGAAAGGTTACAACAGAAGTAAACAAATTGATGTTGGCAATCCTGTTATGGTGAACCTATGTTCTTACAAAGCTGTTAAGGAGGTCATGGGTTCGATCCAAAAACAAACAGTAGACGAGACTCCTCGTTGTTGGACAGTGATTGGTTGTGACGGTCTTCCAAACAACCTTGCTTCCAGATTAGTGACGGCAGAGTTCACATGCGACGAATCACTATCTGGGAGTTGGGCCTGTATGGAGCATCTGAAAGCTGTCCACAACAAGGATGTTTCTGAGGTTACAAACCTTTGGAAATCTACGCCTCGTCCCTGGTCCTGGTCATAAAGAAATTAACAGGGAAAAGGGGTTGTTTAACCTTCTGCGGGAGGTATTATTGAAAGACATCACCCACATTTTGCATTATAGATCCCCTAAAGCAATGGCCTCCTGCAAAAATGCCTCTGACCATCACAAAGCTTGGCAAATGGTTGAAATCCTATTATTTGTCACAAGACGTGAACGTCTTGTGCAATATGTCAGGGCGTGTATAATGTGTCGCAAGAAACCTGACTATCATTCATTTACAGAATGGGTAAATACAGTCACAAACCCCAATGTCAGGTTCCTCACAGACATGTTCACACACGTTTTCACCCTTTACCTGTCCCGTGGCTAGTCGTAGGGCTGATTCACGTTTGGCAAGGGAGGCCTACCTGAAATGCAGTGAATTGTTTTTCAGACTGAACATGTATCATTACCAGGAGGTAGCCATTCGTGAGCTGCACACATACGTGAATGCGACCAATGCTGTCAAAGACTTCTTAGACAAAACTACTGCCATGACCAAATCTGGCCATGATAGCAAGGGAGAGGGAGGTGACTTCATTTTGGAGAATTATTACCGCAAGATCAAGATTCGGAAGTCTCCTGGCCTCCCTACATCTCACAAAAGGGAGACCATCTGTCGCAATATCGACAATTTGGAACAGGTACATAAACCAGTGAACATTCGTACAAACACCTCATTTGAAGTTTATACTGTTATGTGAATTATCAACATTCGCTCATACGTCACTCATAAATGCCACGACATTTTCTTACGGTATAGCCATACTTTTTCTTAATTCGCTCATAAAAGTATTGGTTAACGGCAAGCAGATCTTCATAATAACACAAATGGTGTATTTAGGCGATAAAACCACATGTGCGTTTTCAATATTAATGGTGTTGACATTATCATCACTCCGATTTAATGCCTCCAGTGAACATGCACAATAAATAAATACTCATATATTTATAATTGACACACTCGTGGTGTATATTATAACATTTTCAGGCAAGATCACACCTAATGGATCTCATTGGTGCTGAGATGCCCGAGGACTATTTTGGATATGACGTCTGTGAAGACAGTGAGGTAGGACAATGGCGCACAGATACCCGTGCATCTCAAAATGTGGCTAATCCCCATGCACAGCTTCCACATGTCTCACCGTCTAACAGACCTTTGGATGCAGGGCTCGTGCATTACGCCAGCACCTGCAGATCCACTAAGAATGAGTACTTCCGCCAACTGGACATTGGCATTCAGTTTGGAAAGTTCCACAAACTCCACCCCGTTTTCGTTCTGCCAGGGGATAGGGATCATTATTCACTATCCACTAAGACGAAAATGGAACAATTTGTAGACAGTTATTAATTAGCAGTGTCTTCAGTGTAAAAAGTACTGCTAACAGCTTCAGTAGCAGAGCCATTAGTGATATCATTTGATTATGACGTCACGGTAACCAGTGACGTCACAATGGTCTGCCAAGCACTGTGATGTAATTTCATTGCAGCGATATCTACAGTGTAGATA